TGAATGTCGTTTCTTGAAACCGTGGAAGGTTTCTAACGTTGCGAAATCTGATTCTGAGTCTCGATAGGCTTCCACGCATAAGTGGGGTTTGTTTTATTTATGGTTGCTGCCTTGGGCATCAATTGCGCTGAAGGCATACCCCAGGGGATTTTTTGTGGCGGTAGATTGGTATTAACGTAGTACTTCCTAATGTGGCTAGGAAGTTTGATATGTCCTGTCTAGATGTCTAGTCTGCTGGGATAAATAAACTAAGCAACAGTGGCTTGGCTAGGAGTATCTGATGTTTGATGTTAAGTACGCGCTTGTATACGGGCAATTTCCAACTCCAGGGGCTTCTTAATGCGGCAAATTGATGTCATTGGCGTAGTCCTTCCTAATGTGGACGAGGAGTTGACTTGCCTTGAATGGATGTAACTTGCCGGGATAAATTGGCGACGGCGGCTTGGCTAGAAGGAATATCGGATGTCTGATATCTAGTACCAACTTAGATGGAGACATGATGAGATAGCCACCGTGCGGAGAACGGCTACTTGTAGACTGAATGGGAATGGAAATAGAAAAGAAGCAGGCTAGTTCACCAAGACTTGGTACTTTTGTGGACACCGTAGCAGGGGAGCAAACTTGTATGGCCGAAGAACGGGATACGGCTTGTTAAGTATTCCATCCCAAGTCGGCCATCTACTGGCGACAAAAGACAGGCATACTCTCAATCGGACATTCGATCTCAACATCGCGACCACCATCATACACAACATCTTTCTCCCAGAGCTTCCAAGATGCCCCAGCAGGCAGATATGCCTTGATCGTGCGCTGACCTGCCTCCAACACAGGCACAACCAAATACTTCGGCCCATACATATACTGAGTCTCAACTTCCCAAGCCCGCTCATCCGATGGGAACTCATAAAACAAAGTCCTCATCACAGGAGTTCCCTTCTCATGAGCCTCCCGCATCAATCCCCGCGTATACTCACGGAGCTGCTCACGAATCCCAATATACCGTTTACAGATCTCATAAACCTCATCTCCATAAGACCAGATCTCATTATCCGCACCACTAGCCGTCGGCTGTCCCTCCGGCTTCGGCTCACGGTCACCATGCAGCCGCATAACCGGACAGAATGCTCCCCACTGGAACCATCTCGTGAACAGCTCGCGGAACAAAGGATCGTCGGGGTTTCCGCCGTGGAAACCGCCGATATCTGTCGTCCACCATGGGATTCCGGCTAGGCCCATGTTTAGGCCAGCTGCGAGTTGGTTGCGGAATGAGTCCCACGACGATGCGATGTCACCACTCCACACTAGCGCTCCGTACTTCTGGCTGCCTGCCCAAGCGCATCGCAACAGGTTGACGATGTTTGTCTGGCCCTCTGCGGTCATCCCTTCGTAGAATCCCCGTGCGTACTCTTTCGGGTAGGTGTTTCCGATCTGCAGGTTGCTGCCGGCGTGGTAGCGGTAGATGTCGAAGTCGTAGATCGAATACTCAGGTTCGGCTTCATCGAGCCAGAATACTTTGATGCCCATGTCGTAGTAGTTTTGCTTGGCTTTGCTCCAGACGTACTTTCGGGCTGCTGGGTTCGTTGCATCGAAGTGTGTGATGTCGCCGTCGCATTGCATTGCTACGCGTAGGCCGCGGTCGTGGCGGATGAGAAGACCTTGTTCGAGCATTTCTGGGAAGTTCTCGGAGGCGTTTTCAACGGTAGGCCAGATGGAGACCATGAGCTCGACTTTGAGCTCTTTAAGTTCCTTGACCATGGCCTCTGGAATCGGACATTGTTTGTTAGTAGGTCTTGCTACTGACGATATAAAAAAGAGAACGATAACTTACGTGGATCAGGCCAGAACTCCGGATCAAAGCTCCATTCTCCTTGATGCTTCCAGTGGAAGAAGTCGACGACAATCAAGTCCAAAGGCACTTCCCGACGTCGGTACTCGCGCGCAACATTGAGCAACTGCTCCTGGTTGGTGTAGCGGAGCTTGCACTGCCAGAAACCAAGACCATACTCCGGCATCATAGGAACATAACCTGTCACTTTGGCATAGGCTTCTTCAATTTCCGCGGGGGTGTCACCCGCTACAACCCAGTAGTCCAATGCCTTGGTCGAGTACGCCTCGAAGCTCATGATATTTGTTCCCAGAACCGCCCGTCCGATACCAGGGTTATTCCATAGGAAGCCGTAACCAAGTGACGAAACCGCAAAAGGAACACTGGCCTGGGAGTTACGGTGCGCTAACTCAAGATCTGTACCTTTCAGATTCAGGTAAGGCTGCTGATACTGGCCCATACCGAAGATCTTCTCTTTATGATCGAGAGACTCGAATCGCATGGTGAGGTGGTAGTCGCCGCCCAGGATGGGACGCAGCTCGCGAGCTTCGACAGTCAGCGCGCTGCATTTGGGGTCCATCGGGTCCTGGCGGTGACGAGCATACTCTTCAAGGAGTTTGTTTCCCTTCGAATCGTAGATGATAATCTTGCCTCTGCGTGACACAGTTGCTTTGATGTTGCCGTTGGTGATGGTCGCTTCTTGGTCAGCGGATATCTCGATGGTTGGGGCTGGGCTGGATGGCTTGGAGGACAGGGCCCAATCTTCGGTTGGAATTGATGCCTGTCTTGTTGCTCGCACGCGGAAGGCATTCTCGCCCCATGGCTGCACCCAGAGGATGTGGTCATCGAAACGGAAGACAAGCTTGTCGTCTTCGGCGTAGAGCATTTTGACACACGAGATTGTTAGCGGTTAATCTGCTATTTTTTGGAAACAAGCACAAGAGGTGATTTGTGCTGGACAGATGAGCGGTCTAGTTCAAAGAGCCGGTCATTAAGTATTGAGGGAATGGCATGTACCCCTCATTCTGCAGTCCTGATGCTGTGTCATGGCTATTTCCAATGACAATTACTGCAGATCCACAGGAAGTACCAGTAACAACACTCATTTGTTGGAGAGAACTTCTGACAGCTCCTGGAGGTTAAGGTGGAGATGTCTACTTTTAAACGCCTCGAGGTCATAGGTAGTATCCGTTACGAGTTTAGCCTAAAGTCGACTTCCAGATAGGGCAAGGATGCAACCCCGTGTCTTCCAAAATAGGAAACTAGTTTGGATAGGTTCGGATTGTCTGAAAGAACATATTAGGACAAAATGAACAAGATTGAAAAGATGGGGAATGAGATGAGGGACATTCGCATCAAAAAAAAAAAAAAAAAAAAAACCAGGACGGTATGAACGACATCAGAACAAACAGGAAAAATGAACACGCAAAATGAACACACATCATCTCACGGTGTACTCACTTCGGCGTCCAATACTCGACGTGTGGTCAGAACAGACCACTAATTCGAGTGAGAAGTAAGAGAGCAACACAATTGCTCATGGTGATGTTGCAACAGACGTGGATACGATTTCAGAAATGTCCACGGAAGACTATTCCGGGCTCGAGGTGGGAGCAAGCGTTCGAGTGACATTATGATATTACTTGGGTTGAGGCCAAGGAGAAGGGATTATATTCTAATCACCGTGGCCGGTATGTAGCAATTGTAGGTTGGGGTTATTGGTCATTGTTGGAATGAGGCCATGGATCAAGGTCTGGTTCAAGTGGGCGATATAGCAAATTTCTAAATCAAATATTGGAAAAAGTATTATACTACCTAGTGGCATAAGTAGCTTATTTTGCTGGGCATGGTCTGCAGAGTACCGGGGAGCCTTGTAAAAGTTATGCTCTTCTCTATGACACTTGATGGACTGTGATAAACAAGTCTTGTAGGATATTACACTGACTAGACTCCAATCAAGGCGTGACTTGAGCACCCCGATGACCATGACATAACCACAGACACAATATAACTAACTAGAACATAAGCTATGTTCATATTCTCTACATCCTACGAGTCCTGAATTCTGCCGTTTATGACTGCCTTTACTTATGTCGGGAAGCGAATAAGTACATGAATTGATTGGAGGTTTCCTGGGAGGATCACAACTCCGCTGTTGAATCATTTGGACTAAAGAACTATTTTCTTACCTGGCAAATATATATTACTGCATTCCATATTTATTCAACATGGATATTATACCTCAACCAGAGGTACCTATCAGCTTCGACCAATTCCCAAGAAATGATCAATTGGCTTCTTGAACATGGAGCAAACCCAAATCGACGATGCGATATCAACTGTACTCTTTTTTTTTATGTAGCCCAGCTCGCTCCTATCAAGATCATCAACCTCCGTCGCGGAGGTGACCTGCAAGAGGGACATCTTCTTCAGTATGCAATTTATCGGCAAACAGGACTCAACGAGGTCTTAACACTACTTGTTGAAAACGGTGCCCCTTAAACATCCCAATGCATCAGGATTATTCTACCCTTGGGCGGTTCTATCTTATGAGCCTAGGAACTCCTTTGCACACAGCAGTAGAACTCAGTAAGTTGGACACAATAACATTTTTGTTCAGCCGAGGAGCAGATATCGGCATCGAGGATGCAAATGGCCGTACTGTAACTGAGTGGGCAAGAGTGTTGAATCAGACGGAAATTTTGAAGCTATTGGAAAACTGACATTAAACACCAATTCCAAAACAATTCTCATGTGGTTTGCCTTCATACATGCTATTTAAAAAAAAAAAAAAAACTTAAACCCTGCAGACGACTTGTGTTTTTATGTATAACCTGGAATACTTTGGTAGGGTGTCCTAGAGACCATGTCACTATTCCTGTTGTTTCAACCCTTTGAAGATCAGCCATCGAAACGAATAGTATTTCCTTCTCAATTCGTCCTCAGGATCGACAACAATAAGGCTAGACGTCCACGGGAGCCCTGGAGGTTGATATTGATGACTGGTGTTCCCCGGAAAAAGGACGCTATTCCTTATCAGGATAGAGAATGAAGCTACCGCGGGCACGGTTTTCACCTTGCATTGCTCAGTCCTATCCACTCAGTTGTTAATTCCATTCGAACTGCTAGCTGAGATTTGATTTGAACCTTCGATTCATCTAGCAAAGCCCGAATCATGGCATTCAGCGGGGCCGCAGCTCCTACTGCGGACATGGACATCGACATGGACCTTGATCTCGGACCAGAGCCCGAGCCCGAGCCAATTCATGTGGTGAGTGTTTTCTTTTGTCCTTATAGCTATAATCGATTGTCGACTAACATGTGTCGAGTGATAGGAAACAGCCACAAACTTGGAACCCACCCTCGACCCCCTCTCCGATGAAGCGGTCTACGAAAAAGTGCATGTTCGCGGCGTCGATGAAATGACCACAGAGAATATCAAACAATTTGCTCATGACTGCTCTGGACATGAACCAGTGCGTATTGAATGGATTGACGATACATCCGCCAACATCATCTTCTCCTCCGCCGAAATCGGCCTTCAAGCTCTCACAGCTCTCACGCAAGTCGCTGAGGAAGAAGACGCGTCTACCTTGCCACCTCTGCGTCTCCGCTCGGCGAAACTCCTCTCCTCCCACCCTGATTCCGTCCTCCAAGTGCGATCGGCTGTCAAATCGGACCGAAAGCAAGCCCGCGCCCATGAGAAGAGTCGCTTCTACCTCATGCACCCCGAGCATGATCCCCGAGAACGCTTGCGACAAGAGTTTGCCGACAGGAGAAATAGCGACGATGCAGGTGATGGTGATTACAGGCGGCGCAAGTTCGACAACCGAGAGCACCGACGCCGCCGAGACCGCGACGAGGACGAACACTTCAACGCCGACATGTACGGTGATAACGTTGGCTCTGAACCCGAGCGCGCTCGGGCACAGCCCAGAGGTCGTGGCCAGAGGGACCTGTTCCCAGAGGACGAGGGCCGATCAAGTGGACGTCTCCGGAACCGCAGTGCATCTCCGGGACGAGACACGCTGGAGGAAGAACTTCGAGTCGAGCGAGGTGGTCGTGATAATACCAGGCGGTTCCGTGAGAGGTCGCCACGACACGGTCGTAAGAATAAGGATAGGGAGCTTTTCCCAAGCGCGGACCAGAGCGAGTCAGGAAACCGCGAGCTTTTCCCAAACAAGCCCGCATCTAGCTACATCAAGAAGGAGTTGCTGCCTAGCAAGTCTAGTCACCACCGTCGGTCAGATGCATTCGACGCTTCTTCTGTCCCAGGCACCTCTGAGCACAGACGCCACAGCAATATTGAGCTCTTCCCTGATTCCACCAACAATGGTGCCCGCATTCGTGGAGCAGCCGCAGCCACCGAGGACCAAGGATTTGCCATCCGAGGCGGCGCATCGAATGGCATGTCGATTAAAGGCCGGGGTGCGTCGGTGCGCGAGCTGTTTCCTTCCAAGTTTGACAATGTCCCCAACAATAACACCAACGCTGGCCCTAGCGCAAACGCTGGCAAGGAACTGTTTTCTGATACACTAGAAGGACGCGGCGGTCGTCGGCGTCGGGCAGAGGACATGTTCAGCTGAAGAGACTAAGCGATAGGTCGAGAACTGCATTTGCTTGATTGTTAGGGGTCTTCACGGGAGCATGATGGATACCCGGCGTTTGCGAGTGGGATGGTGAAATCGATTGTCTGATAAAAATTCTATAATGATATATACTCTGCTCTTCTAGTGAAACACCTACACTCTTCTGTACTCTCCGAATAATAACTGAATATACGATGTAAACTAAACCAACATTCGTCTAGCAGTCCACGGGTGTCGTGCGCCACGACTGACCTCTCCCTAACCAAAATCTCTCTGAGACATCAGATGCAAGCATGCCTCCTTCCAAAACAATAGATGCACTATCATGTGCTATAATTGCTCGGTTCCTGCGCAGCAACAACTATTCTGAGACACTGAACGCTTTTCTCCGCGAGGCTGACCTTGCTCCCGACGTGGGGCAGACCTCGGGCGATGACACCAACAACTGGACCATCCAAAGCTTGCTCGAGGAGAAGAACACATACGACCAAACCGTGGATTTTGAAAGATATGGCAAGGGTCATCAACAGTCGGATTTATGGAGCCAGCCAGGTGAGTGTTATTCTGGCATGGCAACCAAAAGTCACCGGGACTCGGCTTTACATGTCAAGCTTCATTTGCAATTGTTTTTGTTCTATAATCTGACAGACCACTAGCACCATCAAAACCTGCTCTCATCCAGACGCCGACATCATCAAATATCCTTGCTGCGTCGGTAGAGAAATGGCAGAAACCTCGCGATGATGTCGATGGAGCTGCCTCGGCGCAGTCTTATATCGTCTCCACGAGTGCAGACAAACAAGTCCATTTATTCGAGACAGCAGAAGGCAATACGGCTCTGAAGTCATTCTCGGGCCTCTCTGCTACACCCGTTCTGTCATTTGCCTCGATCCTCCAGGGCCGATACATCCTCATGAGCAACATGTCCGGCCAGCTAATCCTCCAACATGGATCTGAAACGCTTGACAGCAGAAAGGACCATGCAAAGTACCTGGTGAAGGTGGTAGCCTACGAAGACAAGACAGATCCTTCTAAGTGGTGGGTTGCCACCGCCGGCTGGGACGAGCATGTTTTGTTATATTGCCTCAATATCCCCGATGAAGCAAACGCACCGGCACTCAAGATTGGCGAGCCCGTTACACGCATCAAACTCAATTCAAACCCCGAATCACTGCTGTTTGCACCACATGTGGACACCAACGAGCTGCTGCTCCTCGTCTCACGCAGAGACTCGACTCATATCTACTACTATAAGGTAGAAGGAGCACCGGAAGCTCGCCTTCTTGGACACCAGAACCTAGCACCCCATTCCAATGCCTGGATTGCGTTCTCGCTGTGCGATATGGCGCTCAGTCCACACGACTCGAGCCTCCTGGCTGTAGCGACGTCGTCATTGCCCCATATGAAAGTGATCATCGTGCGTCTGCTATTCCCTGCAACAGAGACATCGGTCGCTTCAGAGGACCCAGTGACACAGGCATCTCAAGCAATGACGACGCTGGAACTAGAGAACCGTGAGGATGCTGCTATCCTCGTGCAGGCAAACACCCTCGCCCCGCAGACTGATTACTCCACGCCGCAGTTGACATGGCGGCCTGATGGGTCTGGGATTTGGGTTAATGGAGATGATGGCGTGGTTCGTGGTATTGAGACGAAAACCGGAAAGGTCATGGCTACGTTGAAGGGTGGTCATGAAGCGGGCTTTAAGGTGAGGACTGTTTGGTCAGGGTATGTCGATGTACCCCAGGAAGAGGGTGACCCCGTCCGGGAGGAATGGGTTATCAGTGGTGGGTTTGATAAAAAGTTGGTTGTTTGGAAGGTATGACCTTTATAATTATACTCAACAAGAATATGTAGTTGGTCGTTTATGCCCTCATTAAGTCTTTTCGGTGTTCATTTCGGATATCTTTTTGGATGTAATTGCTGTTAAATATTTCTTCCCTTTATTAGTGGTATATCTAGATGGATAAGAATGGTTGCCGCAAAATATACTCAGAATATACAACATAGGCGGCAAATCAGCCTTTCCATGTGTAACATTTGATAGCTGTAGCGCTCCTACAAATATTACGCTAATATGAAATATCATGAATGTAAAAGTGAATAATAAATGTAAATGAATTGATTCGAACCTGGCTAAATAAAAATGACTGTTACTGTTTACGGAATGTAGGCCCCCTGACTATGAACCCTGTCGCGATCGAAAGAATCAAGACAGGATATATAGCAATCGGGGACTTGGGAGGTATTCTTGGCACGTTAAGAAAAAATCCTTCAGCAATCGCGCATGAGAAAAGCACGCAGCTGTACACACATATGCCTGACGGGGGTTGTGGGAAAAGGGGAAGATAGACTAAGCTCAAGGGCCACAACACAGACTAAGTCGAGCCCTCGAGTCTGGTAGGAAAAGGGGACTTAGCAGACGAGAATCCGCCTGGGAAAATGGCACCGCTGTGCGCATCGAATTAAGCCTGTTGATTTCTCGATATCGAACAACTCGAGGCTCGTCGCACAAGAAATAAGCAGAAACCAGGCTTATTTGACACAGCGGACCGTCCTTGATTGTAGCACTCGTTATGTTCTCTGGACCTCTTGCACGCTCGAGTTGCATTTCATGTTTCCCATTTTTTTAAGACTGAGTTCATAATCTATGCGATCTCACGCTTGCCCTCCTTGCGCTCCTTCTGTTCAATGGGTTAGTATTCCGTGTCATAGGTAGTGGATGTTGGGTTCGGGTTGTGGTCAACGTACAAGGGCCTTCATGGTGCCGTGGAGAGCGTGACGGTGGTTGCGGCGGAACTTGGGGTCAACGCCGTTGAGGGAAGGGTAACGGTGGGTCTTGGGCTTCTTGATACTATTCGAGGAGATATATCAGCGATTCGGCTCTGGTTGAGATGGTGTGACGGATGGTGGTCGAATGCAGTCGTTCGAAGAGATTGCCCGAGCGAATATTCAAGTCGTGACCTCAAATTTATCACAACGGATAAAACTATTCGCACGCTAGCGTTTCTTCCACCATATCCGTTGAATCGATTGAAAAAATGTCGAGCAAGTGTAACAGTAGGGTGATCGAGGATGTTCAAGGGTAGACGTACCCGTTACGGTGAGCCTTCTGGCTGCTGTGGTGCTGGGACGCGTTCTTGGACTCTGTGGGGGAAAATCATGTCAGCGCCATTGTCTTCTTTTTTTTTTTTTTTTTAAAAAAAAGCTCTCTCCAGCTTGCAGAGGAGCAAAGGTCATAGGGTCGTGGTAGAAACGTACTGGCCATCTTGTCGGATGTTGTCGCTGATTGACGGTATGATGGATGGAGAGGAGTGGGAATAGGGACGTCAGGCCTTAGATGCTCGGCTAGGGCTCGTCCGTTTGTGGGATCTCGCTTATCGGGCGGTGTACATACTAAAACGTCACTAGATGTTTTCTTATTTGCAAGATTGTCCTAGATAACATCATAATATTTTGATATGGTATTGTATCCTACTGTATTTCAATAGGCTGTTCTAGATAATTCAAATCTGGGTCTTGTTAGCTTGCTTTTGGCAGTTCTTCAGCCTGCGACTTTTTCTCCCTTCGTTCTGCCACTATATACACGTGACCTGGCTTCATGTATATCACGTGATCGATATACTTCCCCATATGCAAGTCGAGTATGTCCTACTGTCTACGGGCATTGCAGAAGACTTTATTTCGGATGCCACACAGAAGCAGCAAGTACATTACATCTACAATATGTTGTGTTCGATTATCAGCGGGAACTTTTAGATCACCTTGTTCTCGGCGCCAAAACTTCACCTTTGGAACCGGATGTCGGGCAAGAATTCGGATTTTAAACAAACATATAATAGAATACAGAGCGCTTTAATTGAAATAACATGATTTCTTCTTGTATTCGCATAAAATATGCATAGAATGACCGTAGTAAACACAGCTCATACTGGCCATAGTTCGGCCGTTGAATTCCCGTGCCACGTGACTAGCCGCTAGGGAACAACCGGCGTTCCGACTTCGACCTTTGCAACGCAACTTCAAGAGGGATAATCCAGCCTTTGCACGTCATCCACCACTGCAAAATGAGCTCCTTCCGCTTCGCTCGCTCCGCCCTCCGGGCTCGCCCTTCTTTCCTCGGTGCTCCCGTCCAGCGCCGTGGTTACGCTGAGGCCGTCGCCGACAAGATCAAGCTGTCCCTGACTCTGCCTCACCAGGTGCGTGAACGAACTCCGGCCGGCATCCCAACATCATAGCCTAAGTACTGACATGATAATTGTTTGACAGACCATCTACCGCTCGACTGGCGTGTATGTTATGCTCCCACTTGCGCCCACGTTGACGATGCCTGCGCCCTTTTCCAAATACTGACCAACATTCGCGATTACAGTACCCAGGTCAACATTCCCGCCGCCTCCGGTGAGATGGGTGTCCTCGCCAACCACGTTCCCTCCATCGAGCAGCTCAAGCCCGGTCTCGTCGAGATCATTGAGGAGAGCGGCGCCACCAAGCAGTACTTCCGTACGTCCGATCCTCGCGCCCTGAGACATCCCGCAAATCTGGTCTCTTGTCAATTGGAATCAATCAGCTAACAATAGTGTTGCTGTATAGTGTCTGGTGGCTTCGCCGTTGTCCAGCCCGACTCCCAGCTCAGCATCAACGCTGTCGAGGGTTTCGCCCTTGAGGATTTCAGCGCCGATGTAGGTTTTTCTTTTTCGGGACGTCTTGACTCAAGCTAATTGAAACTTCCTTGCTAGTCCATCCGCGCCCAGATCGCCGAGTCCCAGAAGATTGCCAGCGGCAGCGGCAGCGAGCAGGATATCGCCGAGGCCAAGATTGAGCTTGAGGTATGAACCCGCGGGGAGTACTGGTCTGACTAAATACTGACTTTTCTTGAACAGGTTCTCGAGACCCTGCAGGCTCACGTCAAATAGACTTGATGTACATAACCATTATCGCCCAACCATGAACCTGTAGAATTATAGCAATTCTCCCTTTCCCTCTAATCTTACTTGCTAATTATATCGTTTCTGCTATCTACATTCTACAAGAATAGTCGGCGTTAACCGCTTATGCGGCTTTGTGATGTCTCTTCAGTGGGCTTTTCAGTGGTCCTCTCAGATTATTCTGTTTAGATGTATTTTTCTAAACTATCTTCTAGAGGCTTAATTTGTGAAAACCGTGTATACCCTGGGACATGGTAGAGGTGGGAGCGCACCTTCCAAGCTTGGAAGTTAAGCAGATGACTTGCACGTTTGATCCCCAGCAGCCATCAACTTTCATCTTCAGCTGACCGTGCAGACATGGCATTTGTCAAATCACTCAAGTCAGACCCTCTCGGCATCGTGGATACTCGACTGAAGATGACGGACCCCCCTACGGATGGCTTCTTTTCGCCTTTTGCACCATCGCCATTCACTGGGTTTGATCGAACTGACGAAAAACAGCCAGGCGGCCAGACAAAAGCAGAAGCAAGCCCAAAGCAAGCTCACCGTGGTTTCGATTCCAGTCGCCAATGTCCTCGACTTGAGTTGGATGTCGATGTGGATAAGTACCACACTCTTGATGGGCTCGCTGAGCCCTTGAATCCCCAAAACACACCCGCATCAAATAGCGAACGAGAGAGCATGGAGGAGACTACTGGGTCCCTTCGTTGCTATAAAATAGAGAACTTAAGGACGAACTCTGCACCTCAGATGAGTGAGTTCAATTTTGATTGCTTCCAAGATTCGCCAGAGGCAAGCTTGGTTTGTCAAGACGATGGACGCGAATCCCCCAAACCATCAAAGTTGCGATGCCTTTCCGTTGGCCGCCGACAATGGATCAAGTATCCTGTTGCTTCCCTGGCGAATCGTTATCCAGACATAAATGCCAGTAACTTCGAGAAATCTGCCAAGTCAGGCTCACTGCTGCGAAGTGTTCGATTTTCTCCTCCTGCGGCCTCACTATCTCCATTTTCTCGTGCGACACGTCGCCCCCTACCTTCGATTGAAAGAAGGCAGGATTATATTGTTTTGCATCGACAGAAGAAACAATACCGGAAATGGAAGCTCACCCGTCATGCGAACTCTCAAAAATGTTCACCGTGCAACATCCCTCCAAAAACAACACAGTCTCTAGCAGCCCGTATCCCAAAGAACTATGATATGCGAGTCTCCTCCCTTTCAAGCTTGCCTTATCGTGAAACACGTCAAACCCCGGTCTTCACTCGGGTTGGCTCGGGTGGTCATGTCCTGGAAGTGAGATCTGGTAAGGTAGCCGAGAATGTGGACGATACTCCTGTTGCAGATGACTCGAAAATTGCGGGCAACACCAAGCAGAACGTCCCTGCATTTCTTGCTGTTTCATTTTCGCTTTACAGAATCCGACATTCGCCTAGTTCATCCACTGAGAAACCACCGAGGTACTCTTTCAAATTTCGAATGATTCAAACCGATCTCCCTCAACAGCCCTCTCCGCATTTCCCTACCGAATTCGAACATATCGCCTGCCACCCAGTCATTGATGACTTGCTATTCCACGCTTGCTTCATCGTTCCGGCGCTTGTTGTATTGCTGCCTCTCCGTGTCATCTTAGCTGCAACACATCCATTGGTCAACACCCGAGCCGGCGCTGTAATACTCTATCTCGCCAGAGCTTTACTGTATCTACTGACGAACATCCTCATTTTTGTGTTGTTCAAATTGGGAGTGTCTTGCGGCTGTCAGTGGACTCCGGACACTGGCTATTCGAATTGATTAACTCTCTGGGGTGATGAGCAATTGACGTTGAACAAGATTCCGGACCGGTGAATTCTATCTGTACTTTCTCCAAAGACAATTTGTATGCAGTATGTTCTACGAGTATCTCTTAGTGTCGCGATAAGTTTAGTCTTGCTCTATTTGATACATTTTCGTGGCTGAAAGCCCGAGCCATGAGTATGCATTCAACAGATCCCAGTAGTGGAGCTATTTTTACACTGTCTCATGCCCCCTTTGATATAAACATTATGTTGAATGTAGCCCGGGGCTATCGTCAACGCTATACCACAAAAATATAAGTGGTTCTAGAGCTTCTTGCAACCACAGTGTACGGCAGTCTCTTACCGCGAGTGCACCAGTTCAATTTTACCTGTGCAGTTTATAATACGAGCATCTATATATTTGAATACACCAATATTGCACTAATTCTATATCTAACTTGAAAATTCAAGTCAAAATACCTGGCACGATATCTCAAAAGACTACTAAAAAGGGGTCAAATTTTACTATGGGAAAATCTGAAGTGGGCAAATGCCGTACACAATGCCTATGCTTCGGCGAAATCTAAGACAGCTTCCACTATCGTGGTCTGTGATGCACTGTCAATCTTCCCTCTTCTCTTCTCTCCCTTCCAAGAAAGTTGACATGCTATTGAACGTGTCACCAGACTTTCTTCGGAGCTCCAGAAAGGCGAATCTTCTTACGTCGAGCATTCGAATTTCCATCTACTCGAAGTGTTTGACGCCAACTAATGAGCCGAAAGTTGAACTAAGCAGGTAGGTGTGAGACTCTCCGAATAGTACTCTTTTAGCAGTCTTCAAACTTCTTACAATTCTAAAAGCTAGCCCATAAGCCTAGAGCGGTTGTATTCTCTCTCAAAGCCGTATATTTCCACGTTGAAGGTAAGGCCATTATAGCTATCTTTAATAGCGTGGAAGTGTGTTGTTTACTAGCTGATGTCAGCTGGGTGACACCCCTCTCATTCGTAAGTAACAACTCTGCAGAAGAAGGTCATATAGAAGTAGTCAAGCTTCTGATCGCAACAAACGCTGTTCAGCTTGATGTGAAAGACTCGTCCAACCACCGGACCCCACTCCTCTCGTCTCTGATAGAAGAGTACTACTCAATATCCAAGCTCCTCCTCGACAGTGGAGCCCAAGATATTGACCGCGGTGATATCATTTCAGGTGGCCGCACTGCGTTGTCAATCGCCGCGGAGCTTGGCAACGAGACCATGTGCAATGCCCTTTTAGATACGGGAAAAGTGAACCCCAATTCAAAATCTACATACAATCGTACGCCGCTTTCATACGCCAGTGAAAGCGGGGCCACTAGCATTGTCAGGCGGCTATTGAATACAGAAGGCGTGGAACCTGACCTTGCCGACACCAATTACGGACGAACACCGCTCTCATGGGCGGCAGCGAAAGGTCATTTCGAGGTGGTCCAGCTATTGTTGCAATCACCTGGGGTTGATGTGAACTCTCGTGATTTCATGTACAAACGCACGCCACGCTCATGGGCCCTTGCACATAAACACAGGGATGTCGCTCATGTGATCCGAAAGGTAGAGATGCCAGGAGTGCCGGACGATGCATTTGAAGAAACGGTGTCTTCTGAGGAACTGGTATCTTCGGAGTACGATAGCGATAACGATGTGATTTAGTCCATGCTGCCAGAGGCCGCGTCGTCTTTGGATCCTATGGATTTAGCGTTAGAGGAGTACCGAAATGCTGCATGAGGTAATTCAGCTATTACACCCACCTGTGGTTGATGTGAGCTCTCGGGATTTCATGTCCTAGCCACTTCTCTTTAAGGACTATGAATCGGACGCAGAGCGTGAGCGTGCTAGGGAGGTGCGAACTCAGGCAGTTGGCAATCATGATTTTCTGCGTCCTCTCTTTTTCGATAGTGACTAGTTAGACCAGAGAACTAGTGGGCGAGATATGTTGTCCTCGCCGATAGCTTTTTATTGCATCTAGTGTTAAGCCAATGTGAATCACGAGAGTCCTGTGTGGCAGATACCTAGGCTGCTATCGCATGATTAATAAGAGAGTCCGAGTACGAGATCAATTGGCTCTTATAATATATCATATGAGAAAGAGTAAGACACAGACAAGCTAGCAAAGCGATGAAGGATGGACTCCTTGAAGCCGTTGGAGTTTCAACAAGTGCTAAATAAACAAAAACTAGTCTTGATCGGATGTAAATTATCACCGGAGCATGACTTCTACCACTCCCACTGTCATGGCGGTCATCCATACTAGAAGAACACCACCGAATCTACCCTTGTTTGAAGACACACCGTTTGTCTTCACTGCAGCCGTAGATGTCGAGGTGGGTAGATCGCTTGACTGATGCACAGTCATCGAGGCAGGTAGATCCCCTGACTGATGCACGATCGTAACAAAAGGCGCAACGGTAAGACCGACCAATTCATAAGAATCAGTAACATTATAACGTGTGGTGGAGATCAGATGGGTTCCAGTGATTGACACCATTGGTCCGCTCACCATGGTGCCGTCCAAGAGCACTGTAGCAGACTCTGTAACAACGTTGTTACGCGGCATGACCATGCTACAAACTGTGCTGATTTCGTAGTCAGGAAGTGTTGAATAGCACCCCACTAAAGTGTTTGCGGTCATCGAACTATGGTAAAATGTTAGACCACTTATTGGCATATTCCAACATGCTGACACAAACCTTGGACAGCACCACACGGCTGTTTCATTAGGTTCTAGCATTTGCATAAACACATTTGCCCGATTATTTCTAAAGGGGAAAGTGAAGTGCGTGGGTACTGGTCCTATCGGACTGACCGCGCCGGAGGAGGTCACTGGCTTGTCGCCATCTCTCGATGCCAGTCCTACCGTTGCCCATCCAGAAGGACAGTACAGGCCTGGTGAGAAATAACTCCCCTGCATCTCGCTCTGCGGGGTTAAATCCGGAGATGTATATCGTGGCGGTAGGGAGGTGATTGTCCCTGTTGGCGCACACGACCAGTCATACACAGATGAACATTCTTCTCCAAAGTAGTAGAGCGGGAACGAGGCTGATTGCCCAGCTCCTACATTTCTGGTGACTGTTGCGCAACTGGTTGGAGCAGTGAAGGTTGTTGTGAGTGGACCCCAGTTAGAGAATGTGTAGCCGGAGAGTGTGGAGGCGGTTGGCATGATGCAGATACCAGGTTCTGTACTAGAATAGGGGATGATTTATTTCAAAGTGATATTCTACTCCATACAACAATCCCGCTTGTTTCCCTTTTTCATCCTGCCTTGACATTTTACGGAAAAAGACAAGCTAGACCCCAAACGGATGTAAGCACGTAGGTTAGATTAATATTTGACAGAAATCTGACTATACCAAAATGTCTGTGACGCGAACATAGACAAAATCACTAGTCAATACTGCGCTTGTGGGAGGATGATCTGGACCCGATGTCTGATGAACCTGCCTTAATAGACGCCTCAATGTCCCGCAGGATAACCACGAGATTTTCCTGACAATTGCATACTACGATGGGCAGTATCTCGCGTACACATCGAATCCCTCGGGTACAGGGGGTAGCCATAATCGTCCCCTTGAACGTCACGTTGCAGACATACAGCCCGTGGAGCATAATCCACCCAACTCACATGTATTTCATGGCTATGATTATTCTCTGTGGTTTGGACTGCGCCGCTCGTTTGTGCGCGCCACTCGTATGTGAAATACGTTATCGATTCGGCTTTCTTCCGCTAATCCCCAACAGAAATAGTGCCATCCGCTGCACTTGAGAAAATGAAAAGAAAGAAAACCATCTTGCCCTATGGTAGCTTCCTGGCTAAGACTTGAGCACCTGCAATGGGGGAGAATCAATTTTTTATGAGCATTGTCTGTCGTCGAAATACACAGCGTGCTCTCAACAGCAACGAGCTTGGGCTTCTTTGTGGCGCTGTTGACTAGTGGCCCACGTGGCGAAGCCAACACAAGCTCAAATCGATATAGTAGGTAGAAGGCTCTGGTTGTGCTGACGGAATCGAAAAGGGGTTCAAGGTTGTTGGGCTGTGCATTGGACCGAGTATGCAGTTTAACTCAGTGAAGAATGTCGGATGTCATTACCATCTATACTCAAGGTTCAATACAAGAAGGTCTACCGGCACGGAGTATTGTTCAAAACTAATTGGATTTTAAAGTCCCAAGTTGCATTACTGCACGGTAAAGGCCCAAGTGGTAGCAAAAGGATCAGGCAAGTAAGCAATACCAAGACCAGGTATACTGCCATAAAGGTAAAGACAAGAAGAAGACCAGCAAAAAAACCAACCAACAACCCAATAAAAGATCCGTTAAGTCGCTGGCGTCATAAAAGAAAAAGTTGAGAAAAGAAAAGCTAGCTAAAAGAATCATTTCATCGCCTGAAAAGCACATTCAAGAAAAGAAAAGGAAAACATATCAAAAAGACATAGCACCATGATAGGGGGGATCATTTATATCAACACGGCTCTGAAGCACATAACTCGTTTTGTACATGTCATGAAATGGGTCTGTGGTAGGCACAAGAGAAAGGGGAAAACGGAGGATGCTGGACGGTACCAGGAAAGTGATCAAGTGAATTCCACGCCGTGCTGCTGTTGCCTTTCTTGTTTGGTGCGGGCTCGTTCAGCACGTCTGCGGCGACGGTTGTTCGCGTACGAACCACTCATCTCAGTACCGGTATATGTAGGTGAAGTTACACTACCTGGCCCATATGGGATGGTGGAAGGCGCAGGAATGGGAGGTGGGGGCGGCATTTGGCTGACTTGGGAGGGCGGTGCAGCCCATGAAGATGCAGGCATGCTGCCCGACGGTGCCATAGATGCCTGTGGAGGGAGAAGCTGAGCAGAAGCAGCAGCCTGTTCACGTCGCATCTGTTCATCTTGTCGACGTTCAAGTTCTTCGACGCGACGCCAGCGGTCTTGGCTGGCGTCTTCATTTCCAGACAAGGAGCCAGCACTGCTGTTGCGACGTCGGGAGCTTCTTCGCTCCCTGCGACGAGCCTCGCGGCTCGCAGCCGCTTCTTCCTCGGTCAGTCGACGGAGTGTCACATGTCGTCCGTCGTTGTGCATTTTGACTTTCACAGATACCGGCGGGGAGGCAACGTCATCACCTCGGCGTCGGCTGCTGCTCCGGTTGCGACGGGAGGCTGCATCTAGTGCTGCACCAGCGGCGGCGCCTGATGCAAATTCTGCTCCATCAGGGGCGAGGGAGTGACGGGAGGGATGAGCTTCAGACCTCAAGTCACCAGACAACTGTTGGTGGCTCGGGGGCATCGGAGGCATATCTGATACAACGCTCTGGACAGCACCAGAGGCACGGGGCTCTGCAGTAAGAAGAGATTCTCCATGGGATGCATGTCGGGGTGGAGGTGGCCGGGATAGATCCGTTTCAGTGAGATCAGTTTCACTGTACGAACTGGCTCTTCTTCGTGGGTAGAAACTCCCTCCCGCCTGTGGTCGTCGTCTGCTGTTTGCCCTTTGCAGCGCCTCGTCTTCATCCTCTCGGCGCCTGATATCCTCCAGCCGCCGTTTCTCTTCATCGTCCTTTTTACCACGGCTGAACAGTCGTTTCACAGCAGCAAAAGCACCGGCACCCAGAACCGCGTTTCTAACCCCATGAGAAGCGCTTCGCTGAGGTGGCTCAGTGAAATATGTGCTGTTGTAATAATAAGACGATCCTGGGCTTTGGGACCTGCTTGGTGCGCGGCTGGGTGGTCGATTGAGGGGCGTGTTATGAGTCGGCTCCGGTCGACCGTCTTCCATCCTGCTGAGAGTTTCATCCGAGTGGCTAGTACTCCGCGAATGGGCAGGCTTATAGCGACCCGATTCGGCGTCGTCTTCTCGCTTCTTTCGACGGTCCCAGAACTTCTTGGCCATGAGACCCGCCCCAGCCAGTGCGCCAATCTCGAGGAGTTTCTTGCCGAAACCACCACCTCCACCATGGTGGCGGGAAGATTCATCCGAATATTTTTCATCAGAAATAGATGTGCGAGAGTCTTCATAAGCGTGGCTTGGGTGGCGACTGCTTGCACGTCGTCGAAACATCGAAGCCAAGCCAGCGCCTGCAGCGCCGGCGGCGAGAGCTTCTCCCGTGTGATGGCCATGTGGCTCTGAAATTTCTGAAGGCCCGTTGTAATGACTGCGAGGACCACCGTGGTCACTTCCCATGTGATATCCTTCGGTATCATATCGGTAGGAGAGTATAAAGTAAAGAACCAAGTAGGCGAAAGCTGTCAGCGCGAATAGGATGAACAGGACCTTTGGCGATCCGTAGAGGACGAGTCCTAGTGGAATTTGGGCAATTCCGAGAAGTAAAATAGCACGACCCAGCCACCGGTGTAACTAAGATATGTTAGAAGAGCCCATATATCCCTTCTTGCGGCATCACTTACCACCAGTTTCATAGGAACGTGGACTCGCTGTCTCTTACTTTCCCTCTTGTGCAGGAACCAGCCCCACAGCACCTGGAAAATGACCAACACATAGATTGCGAGGCCAATCCCATGATGGGGGTTTGTTAGGCTTCTTTCCGGCCCAACGGCGAACCAGCCAAGCACAAACATGACCGTGGTCAAGAGTAAGGTAAATACCTGACACCAAGCATGCAATTTGAATGCCCAGTAAGGATTCCATCGGGAATAGTATCGGATTAGGAAAATTGATGTTGGGACGATGCCCAAGAAAACGATGGTTCCAATGACACCATGCGCGATGATTATGGAATGGTACCCAGCCATATCCTTGAAACGGTTGCCCATACCTGTAACGTGTCAGTCATTACAAGATAACTGCAAGTGTCTGCACTATCAAAAGTACATTGTCGATGCATCAGACTGACCATTGTATCGCATCGTTTCAAAGTTGAGCCCCATCAAATTGGGCAGCAGAAACGTATCCCGCCCATTGTCCCAGGTGCCATCCCCGACGTGAAGAGTGTTGGAAGAATACGTGCTGCTCCCCGCAGCGGCGAGATCTGAGTTTGACATGTTGCGGATAATTCTCGAAGGACCATGCGATCTTCAGTATGGAATGTCGGATCTACCGAAGGAGATCTTTCGAGACCTCCCGATCGGAGGAATGCACCATGCGATAGCGGGATCGAAATGTCAACTGGAATGCTCAATAACACGCGATCTAATTGATTGTATATGGACCAGTTAATGGTGCGGAGCTGGTTGTATCACAAGATCTTGTAGGGTTCGAGAGGGCCGCAGAGTAGAACTCGAGGCGGAGCGCAAGGAGAGGGGAAATAAAGTCGTACAGATTCGGAATGTGAGGTTAGGATAGGATTAAAAAAGCGTCCGACAACAGAATTTAGATTAAATGGAAAAATGCACGTCGCACAGGGACATCGGGCAGAGAGGAATCACAACAAGAGGCTGACCGATTCCCCCAGTCATCTGTTTTCCCACAACAATCACCGGGCCAACCATCCACTGACTCAGCATTTGTATTGCGACCGCCTTCCGGATCCAGCTAGGTTATGGACTCTTATCTTATCCGTCTTATCCATTTCTGAGCTGATCTTATCACCAGATTGCGTGCTGAATAGACGTTCCCATTCTCTTCCTTCCCCTCACACTTTGGAATGAGTGCCCTCCACCCAATATGACACCTCAAATAGAGACATTTATCAACGCTATTTCCCGGTTTGTGAACTTCTATTCGCACCTGAGTGTCACCGGGATATTATGAACATGACTGACCAAATTATCTCAGCCTTTTAGGATGGGCATAGTAAGTCTACACGTTCCGAGTTGAGATCTCATGTGGCACTTGTACTGAAGGCTGACTCAAACACAGCATGCTCTGCTGGTCAGGGTCTTTCTATCCGCAACCCATCACCAACTGGAAACGCAAGTCCACAGTCGGTTTATCCATTGATTTATCCACCATCAATCCTCTGGGCTTTGTCTGCTACGCAATATATACCGCCGCGTTTCTCTATTCGCCTGTCATCCGATCGCAATATGCAGCTCGACACCCTGCTGCGATCGAACCCACCGTCCGGTTCAATGATTTCGCATTTGCGGCCCACGCGGTGGTACTATGCATCATAATGTACACACAGTTCTGGCCTTTCATCTGGGGGCTACACGTTCCCCGCTTCCAAAGAGTCAGTTGGACAATGACAGGGCTATTTTGGGGATCTGTCTTGGCTCCTCTGGTGGTCATGGCTGTTGTGTTGGCGCAAAGTCCGGATGGAGGGTATGACCCTTTCAGTTGGGCGTGGATTGACGTGGTAGGTGAAAATAAGCTAATATTGTTTAATGGGCTTGTAAACTGTCGGGGAATCTACAACACAAAGCTAAAATCCTTCCAGATCTACTCGTTTTCGTACATCAAACTTCTGATCACCATTGTGAAATATATGCCTCAAGTGGCGTTGAACTACAAGCGCCAATCTACGGTAGGATGGAATATTGGAACCATCCTTTTGGACTTGGCTGGCGGTGTGCTTTCAATGCTTCAACTGGTTCTTGACTCCAGCCTACGAAGTGACTGGAGCGGTATCACCGGAAACCCGGTCAAGCTACTACTGGGCAACGTTACAATCTTCTTCGATGCGATATTTTGCATCCAACACTACGTCTTATACCGAGATCCCCCTGATCTGAAGGGAACCCCTGGTCCGGGCGAGCAAACGCCCCTCTTGGTTGGACAAGACGATGCCGTGGAAGCTCGGGTATGATCCAAGACACAGAGAGACATACGAGATGAGTCTAGTGACCTTGGGGCTAAATTCGAGACATTGGGGATATGTCTCTATTTTTGTAGAAGCAGTATAGTCTGGTCTTGGATTTGAGACATTGTGGGGGCGGGAATTCCCAACCACACATCTCGGCCCTGGGGAAATCTTGCCGATCTGACAGGTTGGGCGTTTTGGTATGAGCCACAATTTAGATACATAAACCATCCTATTGGGAATTTGATACGATTTTTTTTTTTGTTTAAGATCTGAGACACACTGCCATGTATTATTCTTAGACCGAAGATATTCGGTTTCACAACCAGCTTACCGTACATGCCATTCTAGAAAGAAGCATTCAGGCCATCATTTGCTATTCCTAGGAACCTCCCGAACAACCTGTCGCACAATGCAATATTTACAATTCACACTATGACTGCATAATAAGCGTGGAGCCACAGTGAGGCTCACGCCGATCTGTATTGGGACACCGCTCCTCGTTTTGAACGGCCCCCCGTATTTGGTCCCCGCCGAGCGATGTGAGTGGTCAGATAAAGGGATGAGCACACATTTATCGTATTTGGCCAATCATGAGAAAGGATACAGTCTATCCACAATGCCCTAACGGTGCTAGCCGTCGGTGTCGGCGTTAAGGGCCATCATAGCTGAAGCCAAAGTCCACATTCCATCTGCATGGGCTCACCTTTTTCCCGTTCGCACAGATACCTGATTTCCGCCATGATCGACCATACAGAATAGCCACTGGAGGGAAAGATGTCTACAAGATATCAGTCCTAGCTCCTTACCAGTAAGACACCCCGCCGAAGAGATACTACCTTTGGCTTTGACGTTACCTCCAAGCTGACTCAACTTTAGGAAACCGGAAACAAATTATGGAGTTAAGGAAGAAATTTTCAGGCATGGGATTCGGGGATTTCGTGTACAACATATAATTTGAGGCATCTCCTGTGTAATAATCATAATAATACCTAGATATCTACGGCTATGAATCACTGCCACGTGTTTATAGCGAACATGTACAAAAAAGATCTTACAGAATACCGCAGCGTCGGCCCTGGTCATCCCTAGGGTCCTGGGCGTGATGTGGCTTTTATACTGGCCAATAATACGAGCGCGCAATGCCGACCCTGGGAATCTCATAGTTAGTTCATGAGACCCTAACCTCTGGCAATAATCTGCCGTTGGCCTAGCCAATCTAAGAATGTACTCAGTGCCGACCCACGCCGTCATCTTTCAGCCCTACTTTGTAAAAGCATGCCCCATAATTATACAGATGACAAACCAATACCTGCAGGCCATGAGTTGAGGATCATCTCTCGGTCTCGAGGGGAAGCCAGCAGAACCCCCCCCCCCCCCCCCCCGGTAATTTTGGATTACATCGGAGTTGACCAGAATCAAGGGAACTGTATCAGCTGGATAGTTTACCAGGTAATGACCGGCCATGGTTAGTATTTCTATATCGAGCATGGGCAGCATTATCCATTAACGTTTCAATTCTGCGGAACGCCTATAAGAATTACAGCACTGCCTCCTCGACTTGAGATGAACATAAATAATCCACTGCCGGTTACGTCTTAGCCCAAAAACCAAGTTCAGCTCTAAATCTGCCAAAACTTTATAACACATTGGCTTCTCGGTCATATCGGGCAACAATCTTTCAACGCATCGACGCCTATTCATACACCCTTTCCAAAGTTATAAGAGCGGAATTGTATCAAGCACTTGATATGCAAGAGAGGATTCCTCCAAACCACGGCCTTGAGTACTCTGACTGGGAACTCTCGTTTTCATCCTCAGAAGAACTATCAATCCACAACGCCCTCTACATCCCCAACATCCCCAGCATGTATCCTAGTCACCAAAAGTCCAAGAGTATGTACAGCACTGTGCCAGATAGTTCTGGTTACTCGGAGTCCGCAGAGTCTCAACATATGGGAGGCCTGACCGGTATCTCCGCCAGCGCTTTATCCAACCCCCAAATGTCCGCTCTTCAACTGCTGAACTTTATGGACGCACAACCAGACCCTCGGTCTTTTCTATCGCCAGCACACTATTGCACTGGAAGAAGGGGATCAACCGACACCGACACAATTGGTTCTCAATACGCATGGTCTACCGCGTCCAACGCAGAGATTCTCTCAAATTCACCTCATATGTCCTCATTTGACGCCTCCGTCGGACCCACCACAACTCCCTTCATGCAAGGCTGTTACTCCCCGGAATCTGCACAGCTCGGTATGAGCGACCCAGGCGTGTCGGGTTATACACCTCAGCAAATTGACAAATGGTGCATCGAGAGCGAGCCAGCTGGAGACATCTACCAGTCACAACATTTCCCAAACATGGGCTCGATGCGCTTTCCACCATCAGTGGAACTGCAACCCGAGTCTTACCAAATATTCAACAACCAACTCCACACTGCAAATGAGCAATGGTTATCTCGCCCACCCCATTCCTCTGATCAGATCCCAAAAACCTTCTTCTCAATCCCCCGACCCGTCTCAGCACCTCGATCAGCCCCAGCTCCAACAACCCATCTCTACCAATCCACCGCTACAACCACCTCAGTCTCTTCATCGCCCGCACACTCCCTCTATGACCCAGATTCTCCACCAACGGCACCAGGCTCGGCCACCGGCTCAGGCTCCAGCTCCAACGCAGGTGACCTAAGTAACTACGGCATCCCAGCAGGTGACGGCACCTGGCGCTGCGCTCATCCAGGCTGTTCCTCGAAGTCTCTCTTCCATCGAGGCTGTGATCTGAGGAAACACTTCAACCGCCACCGCAAGTATCTCTTCTGTCGCTACGAGGGATGCCCACAGTCTGCGAAGAATGGATTTAGCAGCAAGAAAGACCGTGCTCGTCATGAGGCAAAGCATAACCCCGGTGTCTTTTGTGAGTGGGAGGGATGCGGAAAAGTCTTCAGTCGTGTCGATAATATGAAAGACCACGTGAGAAGAATTCATCGGAAAGGGGACGCTGGAAAGGCTTGATTGTCCGTGAGATGACCACGATGACTATGAGTACTATGTTTCATGTTTACCGGGTTTGGGGCTTCTTTAGCTGTTTTTCTTGTACTTCTTGACTTTTGGTTGGTTTTGTATAACATTGATAGGCAAATCGGGAAAAGGTATGGCGAATGTGGAAAATGAGCGGTTTGGGGGCTTAGCGAGGGTTTATATTTCGGCTCTATCAAATTATCTATCAAATTAGAACATATAAAAACATACAGAAAGAGATATTTGCACTGCTTGAGGAATGCCAGACCTATACATGATGTAGGGATACAATCTAGAATTGTACTCGAGCATTGCCGAATTATCTACTGCCGCAAGGAGCAACTTAAAATGCTTGATTGTAATTTTAATGGCAAGCAAAGAATTAGGCCAGACTAAAATTTTCCTGAACCTGATAATAGAAATTATTGCAAAAGCGCCTGTGTAATCGACTACCCATGAGCCTCTCATGTATCCAAGACGTTTACGCGGAAATAAGCCAGGTGAAACGCAAACTCCCCCTGGATCTGAATTCTAAGAATGGTTCAAGATGCTAGTAGTTTTCTATTGTATTGCGTGGTGTCTACTGTCTAATGATCATCTTTATACCCACTGTTCATCGGTTGAGGCTATGTACAGTGGCGAAGAGGAGGTATAGAAAACATGAAATATGCAGGGATTGCCTGTTTGTCTTGATATCAAGGGTATCCAGGTAACAAGTTTGTTGAGGCCTGTAACTCTGTGGCCAAGGCAATAATCCAAATTATAACCTTTGTATGTCAAGACCAGACTTATGTGACGGGGTGTGCTTTGCCCATTCAAAAGTCCCAAAACAGCATCTTCCTCGGATTGGCAGCGATGCTAGCCATAGAACTGGAATTCGATTCAACCAGACCGGAGCCTCCGCAGAGGCATCAACCTCAACGGTAGCTAGGCTCTAACAACACATCCGCGCCCGAAAGATGTAAACACCATGAAGCGGGAGCTATCAACATCGTTTCGGCCACCATAAGACACACCTGAGTCCAGGGTATTACACCAACGCCCCAGAGGAGTGCCAAAAGGACGGCTACACGAATGGTCAGCTAACATACACTAATCGGTGCCTTGAGCAGCCGCAAGCTTCCCTGGTGATTAGGAGCTGCTACAAGTTGTTACACTATTCAATCAGGAATTGTTTCAGTGTTCAAGTCAAAGATAATATCACTGACTCATCAGGTATCTGAAACTTTGGGGCCCAAAATTTTAGCTTCGCACGTGTACCCAGGCTGGTCTTAGAAGCTTAACTCTAATTGTAACATGCATAGTCCCCACTTGTTCAGGAATAAAGTCGTTGTATTATAACCCCTGGAGATAATGACTCAAGAGATGTAGAGATCGCACACAGTTGAAAGGAAATTGCAAATACATGTACATTCCAGATACACAGTCAGTCGAAGTTAAAGTTCTGATCTCCATGCGTGTAATATCTCCCATTAAAGCAAAAATTCCCTGGTGTCCAAGACCCCAACCAAGCAGGATTTCCAGAAACAGAAGCAGACACGGCAGTCTTGCTTTCATTATCATGAGACTCATGAAGCCACCCCGTAATAACCGACCTCACAAGCCTATAACTCTCATCCGCATAACCACCAAACTTCGTCATGTTGCAATGATCAGCATTGATACCTCGATTCTCATAATTCCGCAGAACAGCCGAGTGCTCTTCAACAATCTTGCCTACTATATCATTCATCTCCTTCGCTTCATAGAAACAGCAGACCTTAAGAGAGAGGTCGCCACGCGAAAGCATAGATAAAAACTCATTCCCAACTCGCTGCACATTATTTGAACCCGGATGCAAAGCCCCGACCATGTCCCTGCTTGCGGTGTGGACTATATTCATTCCTTTGGCGAGTTTCTCTCTGTAGGAAGCGAGCGAAGATCCGTGATGCGGTGTACCAATGAATATTATCCCGATAGCGCTTGATGATATCGCCCATAGACCGTCTATGGTGTTACTGAGGATCAAGGCTTGTTGGCAGACCAGACCGCCGAGACTGTGTGCGATGAATAGGATTGGTCTGCTTGAGTAGTCGATTCTTTGGCTGACGATTGCATAGGCTAGGGATTGACTGTGGTCGTAGAGTCTGTCTGAGAAGGTAATTGAGGTGAAGTTGAATATGTCGATGTCGTAGCCGAAGGTCATAATACGTGCTTTGGATAAGTCTTTGGCGAGGAGATCTCGGGGCCATAAGGTTCCGTTTTCGTGGGTCCATGTTTTCTCGCGGTTGCCGGTCAATCCGTGGACAAAGACAATGCTAGTTCGGTGTATTCTTAGTTCAGGTGTTTCTTTGGGTTCTTGGTCCTTCCACTTTTGGGCTTCTTGGAGAAGATGAACCTACTCTAGCTCGGCATTCGAAGGATCAGATAGCACCTTCATTCCAATTGCACCTTCCGTAGAGTATCTCGGCATCATTAGCTCGGTAAAATGATTTTTGATCATGAAATCTTACAGACTGGGCTCTGGAGCACTGGGTTTCGTCTTGCCCCTGAATAGTCTCATAGTGGCGAACTATATGACCTTGGGTCAAATACTCAAATGACAAAAGAAAATAGCGAGATAGACTCAACAAAAGAGCCAAACACAGAAGAACGGGTGAATGGTTAGAAATTTTTTAAACTCTTAATCCTACCTGTTAAGCGCCCTCTTGAAAATGTACGTACCCCTGTCCGGAGCTGAAGACTATTCCCGGGGCCGCTTCATAACAAAATGTCTTTAAGCAAACCATATGTCTTAACGCTGTCCATGGTACGCCCATATTGAAATCATTATAGGTGACACAGGGATTTCCCGAATAAGGTGGCTGGAACACGCGTTTTCATGAGAAAAGTATCGGGCCGGAACGTCCTGGTAGACCCACAAGATTAGGCGCAAAGCTTCTATGTCGACAATATAAATGGTTGAATTGGCCATTGGTGCATGATTGAGTCGTCTCGAGCAGGACTGCTAAGGCATCGTAGACTAAATTAATATTCCCAGCCTCGAGGATCCTAGGACTAACAACACAGACAAATTTGAAGCGTGAACTCAGCGTAATATCCCGAATTCCATGCCGCTGGCTATTACACAGGTGGCGGGAGGAGGCTGACTCGATTGTGATACAAATGGTTAACGGAAGAAAGGTCCTAGGCATGGATGATCGCGAAAAACCCCAGTACGAATGACGACTTGGCGACTCTGTTCGAAAATTTAATCGACCTAGTGAGGCAGAAATGGAAAAGTGCGTGAAATTAAGAGAGTTATAGTCCGACATCCGGCCATAATTCAAAATTTCAGCAGGTTGGCAAAGGGTTGAATCTCAAGTTATGGTGCATCAATGTGAAAAGGAGATCTATCCAGGTGTGATCTTAACATATGAAGTAAAGTGGAAGAATTCAATAAAGTGAGGATTCATACCCCAAATTGATCAGACAAGATGGAAAAAGATGAAGATAAAAAATAGTAAAGACACACGCTGGAATTAAACGAATGGCCCATGTAACATCATGAATTTCTAACAATGGACCGGTGGTATCATTGCAGAAGCACCAAAACAGAACAAAATAAAAAACATAAGGTATCACAGCTGAGAGATTCGTCACGCGTAAAGTTGCGAAGTTGCCTCGAAGAGGGATTAGCACGTCGTACTGAGGCGCTAATCTGGAAATCTGGAACACCCGGGGGACACAGAGGTTGAATGTGGAGGGGTTGTAGAGGGTACCGGTCGGAACGGATAGAACACGAGAAAGAAATTGGAAATGCAAGATGTAAAGCGAGAGAGATAGAATAGAAGAAATACGAGAGAGTTAAAGGTTCATGTGTTGTTCATCCTTCGTTTTCTCCCGCGGGCGCTACCAAGTGGTCTTTGCGCGAGAACTTGTCGGAGAATGGGATCGTCTTTGTTTTTGTCGACGTGGTGTACACGGACATGTCTGTGGAAGTGTTCAGCTGATGTCAGATTAAATAAGGCTCGGATGTAGTACCGTTGAAGATTGTCGGGTCGCGGGTATTTGTGTTGCTGGTCCGGACAGAATGGACAGACGTAGCCTGGGGAGTTATGCACGAGGCCATGGCGCATCATTTCATTCTTGCGCTTGAAACCTTTGCCGCCTAGTGCGCGTGGACAGCCCTCTACTGGGCAGAAATGTGGGCGGTCTTGTGAGTGCACGTTTGCGTGAGAGCTGCTATTTGGTTAGGTGGAATTTTCACTTGAATCGTCTTTTTGGGGTCTTACTTGAGGAGATACTGAGTTTGGAAGGGCGCTGCAGTGCATCCGGTATGTGTACACTTGTAACTACCCACGGGGCCCCCATTAGCCTGAGTCGACGCAGCGACCGAATGCCGATCACCCATACCAGCGCCGACGTGTTCCGTGGGCGTAGGATAACTGGTCGCTGGGCTTTCGGCAGCCATGGGAGAGGGCTCATACGGGGTCTGGACGGACAGCATTTCAGAATGGGGTGGTCCGCGCCAGAAGGACGAGTGCGAGGCCGGAGAAGGGTGGGTAGATGAGTCCTTCATGCTCACCGGCGAAAAGTGAGAATAAGGACTTGCGGGAATGGAGAACTTTCCCGGGAAAGCGCGGTCGAATGGGGAATCGTTCCCTGATGTAGTCGATGTGGGACACGAGGAGAAGGGGAAGGGTGATGCCATTGTGTTGGGTGGTGGTGGGCCGAAGTCTGACAGTTCGCTGATAGCTTTGTGGATAGGCGGCAGCGTTTGCTTCTTGCTGCTGTCTGGAGATGTTGCGAGACCTGGTCCAGAAGAGGGTTGGGACAATTTTAGTGATGGGAGAGGAATTGGGGGCTCGTGTTCCGGAGTGGTTTTGAGATAGGACAATCCATGTGGTCGTTGGCTCGGGCCACTGAGTGATTGAAGTCGCACCGGTGGAGTCTCATTTTTAATCTCAACATCTGGCTGTGGCTGGAGTGGGACTGGGTTCGGTTCTATCTGGGGGGTCCCTTCCCGGTCTCCTTAGATGAGGCTGAGGCTGAGGCCGAGCCTGAGCCTGCCAGGACTTCCAGCGATTCCTTTAGTGGAGGCACTCCCCTTTCGAATGGATTTGACCTCTTTGAATCTCTTGGGTCGAAGTCAGGTGGCTGTCTATAAGTTTTGATATTTCCAGGTAAAGGTTCCAAAGGAGAATTCCTTGCCGCCATGGCAATCTCGGGGTGGTTCGGAGCTAGAAACCCCATCAGCACTCGGTCGCCCTCACGGGTTGAGCTCTGAGGTTCCGGCTGGTTGGGCTTACGGGAACCAGGTGCGTCGGCATCTTTTTTGGTCGAAACAAACGGTGGTAATGATGGTTCCTTTTCTCCATAGTTGGGTTTTATCGCCTCCATTGGAGGCGACCCATTAAAGGCGCCATCCGAGTCATACATAGTGGACGTCATAGATAAAGTGGCAGGTGCATCGAGCACCTCACTTTATAGTTGTTGATCCGACAGATTGAATTGACGATCACACATCAGAAATGATAAGTAGCCTGTAAGATATGGTTAGACATGGGGATGTAATTTTGTGCCGATGATCGGATGTATCAAAAAAGCATCTAAATGGAATAGAAAAGCAGAAAAGTAAGTCCGATACAATGCGACTGCCCGTCTGCAAAGCGTCGAGATGGGGAGATGAGGGGTTGCCAGGACAGGATGACACGAGAATATAATAGAACCCAAACAGGTCTGAGGGTAGAGAAAGAAGAAAGAAAACATAAAAAGGAAAAGCAAAGAAAAGAAAGAAAAGAAAGAAAAAAAAAAAACAGAGAGACAGAAGCTCTAGACTACCCAGGTCGAGGTCTGCAGAAAGTGCACTTACCCAAGCGGAAAGGTGGACGGGTAGTGAATGGGTCCCCCGGGTTGAGGCTCAACAAGTCCGATTGTCACTGCGCCATCTGCAGATGATTGATATCACCCGGTGGGAAACTGTACAATTCTGAGAGGGAAAAAGGAAAACTAAGGAATGATGGGAAAAAGATGATCTAAGGGGGTGAGATACCACGTTCTACACGTGAAAGTTGGAGTCCCAGCAATATCTACCAGTGTAATGCCAGTCTGAGTAAGGAAAAAAAAAGGAGAGAAAAAGGCGAAAAGGAGAATAAACGTCCAAGGAATATTCGAGGGGGATGGGCGGGAAAGAAGAACATTGAAATGGCATGCGGCTCTCAATTCGGGCTCCATAATAAATTACTGTCTTTACCGTTTCTTGTAATTTCTATTATTATTCGGTTTTGATATTTCTGGTTTTGTTTTTTTTTTTTAGTTCTCGGATGTTTTGGTTATTTACTCTATACATCAACCGCTCCTCTCTCTCTCTCTCTCTCTCTCTCTCTCTCTCTCCGCGCGGACCATGATCCCCTGAATTGCTCTACACCGTACACTCGGAGCATTTGAACTTGGTCGCACATAAACCGAGAAAAAGAAAAAGGGAAAAAAAAAGTCTCCACCGCTACTCTCTGCTATTCAGGCTCCACCATTAAACTCGGAGACAACAACCGGCAACACTCGTTGTTTTCCCCTCTCTCCACTCCCCCAGTCTGTTATACCCGGCTAGGGAAGCTGCACGAAGGAGGGCCCACACGGTCTGTTCTCCCATTTCCTCTTTCTGTCCCGCCTTTCGGTCCTTTTTTTTTTTTCGCCTTTGCAACGTCAGTCTGCGCTGGCACGCTAACTGCGAGCCTCGAGCCGTCAGCCCGAAAGGATCTTCAGGCTTTCCCGGTTTAGTTGACAACGCGCTGTCTGCGGCAAGGAGATCGGCCGGCCCACGTTGTTTCAGAGCCTCGTTGAGAGACATTCTTACTCTATCCTACATTGTTATATACCTCCAATTATAATATTACTACGCTATACCTGCATAAATGTGCTGTCCAACCATATCGGTCACCGGAAACCCCCTAAGTCCCGAATCGTTTTCCCCCCGGCCGCATCCCCTCAATCCTCTCGCGCTAGTGAATAGTGGGTTAAGATAAATTAGTTAATTTGAAACCAATGCCTATCTGAATAACAAAATCCTGTATATTAAAAACCAAGTGGATTCTTCACCCCCCGTCAGCCTCACTTACGCGTAGAGCCGCAGGGCAAAAAAAAAAAGCCTCACCTTTCCCCTCTTTTGTAGCCAATCATACATTGACTGCAACGGACATTACACGATGCGGTATTCCAGGTCATTGTTTATACCGTTACCAGTACTGCCAAACCTGAATCCCATTTTCTCTTATATATGGACACTTTATATTTTTATATATTATATATATATATATTTTTTACTAGAATCTCTCCATAGTTATATACCCCCTCAGGAAGTGATCGGGTGAAATGGCGTACATAAACGTGATATGCTCGCAGGGTATTATACCATTCTCTCAGATGTTTCTCCTTATCGGGATAAGTGCTTACACCACACGTCAGGCGTCAAAAGTACTTCGATCTAGCTGTTCTAGG